GACGTCCTCCACAACTAGACTGAAGAACAAAAGGACAGCAACTTGTCTGTTCCCTTTTCTGATTCCCCAACGCTGTTCCCCTCCCCCAATTCCCCAAAATCTTAAAAAAAAAAAAAAAAAACTTGAAATCAAGTTTGTCAAATTTCAAAAGCTATGCTCTTTCCTGTATATTATATAACCTCCACTCTACTAACTTGATACTAATACCCATACAGTCATTTGCCACCTAATGACATTTTGGTCAATGAGGGACTGTATATACCACAATGATCCCATAGGATTATAATGGAGCTGAAAAATTCCTGTCACCTAACCTAGCAACTCGGTAGCAGTGGGAACACTATATAACATATGGTGTCACTATTTTGTGCCAGTCTCAGTCTATTGATTGCTATCAGCTAGAAATGCCTGGGACACTCACTTGGGCCCCAGTGAGCTTCCCTCTGACATCTCCGCTTTCTAAACCAATGTTACAACTGGACTGACCTTGTGGTTCTTATTATGATTGCAAGATGCCATTCAGCAATAATTAGGAAACTTTGAAGAAAGTAAGTTTATTCCTTAGTGACCCTGGTGAGCACAAGACATGCCAGAGGACACACAGGATATAGAGGGAAAGCATGGGCCTGGGGTTCTGCTTTTATTGGGGTCGAGAGTGGGGTCCTAGGGTTTCCAGGGATCACTCTTTTTTGGTAAATTTAAAACCTAAGAGTGAGAATTTAAAGCACTGGAAGAAAAAAAAAACAAGTAGCTCAAATGGTTAGTTATCAAAGTCAACAAAGATCTCTAAAACAAAGAAGCTTCAGCGCAGGGAGCGGCGTGGCTCTTTACCTAGTGACTGGCAGTGTACTGATTCTAGATAGCCTTCCTTGAAGGCGGATGCCTCTTTGAAATGAATGCCTAGGCAATCAAAGCTTAAGTCAGACACTTGTTTTACAAAAAGAAAAGCCAACTGTCAAGGCTTAAACTACAATTAGTGTTTGTGGTGATGCTGGTGTAAACAAACCTACTTCTGCCAATCGTATAAAAGTATAGCAATACGCGTACAATTACAGTAGTAGGCTACACCATCTAGGTTTATGAAAATGTACTCTTATGATGTTAACACGACAAGAGAATCACCTAACGATACATTTAGGAACAAATGAAAAAGCTATTAATCAAGTGGCAACAGAACCAGTGCTATTGTTTTGCAGGATTAATGATGTCCCTCTTACATTTCATACTCAAATATCTGGCCATGATTAAGTTCAGCTTTTCTCAAGCTAATTGACCTATATTGGAATCAAACCAATTAAGTGATGTGATATTTCATTAGCACTAGCACTAAACAAATGATCTAATGATGCCAAGATTTTTAGTTTCTTCATTTATACATAGGCACTGCTAAAATGTAGTAAGCTAAGGAATCCTGGAATTCAAATCCTAAAGCTTCCACTTATGAGCTATTTTGACCTTGAGCAAATTACTTTACCTCTTTGAGCCTGTTTTCTATCTCACAAAATGGATATATTACCTTCCACATTTGGTTGTTGTCAGAATTAAATGAGGTAATACAGGACAAAATTTTTAGGTCACTGAACTGTATTTCATAGATGTTCAATAAATGTTCATTTCCTTCCTTTATTCTAGGAATGGGAAAGAACAAATTAAGAAGCAAAAAGGTAACTAGAAAAATAAAAAGTAGAAGAATCTTTAAGAATAATAGTTTTCTAGGCAAAAATAAGAATACTTTAATGGAAATAAAGATTTCCCTCCATTAGTGGCAACAGTATTGAATATAAACAAAGTTCAGCTCTCGAGATTCTATTTCCTCTATATTCCTTTGATAAAGATTAAAAGGTAGCATTCCTTCAGAAAGCCTGTAAGGATTAGGATTAAATTACATAGAGTTTCTGATCTGTTACTTATTTTATTATGCCGAACCATTTTTTCAAATTATAAGACTCCCCAATATATCATGGTGCAGACATTGTAAACCAAATCTTTTACCTTTTGGATTCTGGAGGCTGTCTCTTCTCTATCATTTCACGGAGCCTTGCAGCTGACTGCAAAATACACAAAATATATACACATAAAAATAATTTAACTACATAGCTTCCCTTTTAAAATATTAAGTATCTGCTACAATGTCCACATAAACTAAGGTCTACATAGGAAATAAAGATCCTTAAAATATGATACTGCTCTTGATAGTAGACATGAGACAAATATACTATGAATAATAAAGTATATAATACTATCTAAAATACTGACATTCTGATACCTTGAACCAGGTTGCTAATGCGTTTACATGATTAAACATTAAACATTTAATCAAATACACTATCACAGATTAACAGGTTTAACTTGTACTACTAAGGCAATCAATCCTACTTTGATATTTTCTAGATAAGTTATTTATAGGTTATACTTATATAAATCAAATCATAATTTCTATTAACCAAAATCAAAATCAGAGATACTTTGTCTAAATTTCTGATGCATTTTCACTAATGACATATATATAATTTAGTTATATAAAATTATATTAACTCACACTCCTTCCCCTCAAGATGAAAACACACACTGAATGTTTGAGAGTCTGGTATTCAGAGAAATCAATTAATTACTTAATAAAGCCAAGGGTTTGATATGTTTTGGGGGAAAACATCACACACCCTCCTAAACAGCTATTCTCTCACACAGAAGTTTTCGCCCCAGTATAAAGACACTAATGTAAATTATATCTTTAGTTATAATGATTATAAAACATTGGCATACATCTGGCCATTTTATCCTAAAAGCTCCCTATACAAAGTGTATTCCCATTTAGTCTTAAAGTTTAAGATTTCTCAAAAAAAAAAAAAAAAAAGCTTGTCCTCTCACATCTTTCAACCCATCCTTCCCACTTCCCTGTTATCCTTTAGTTAGAGAAACCACTTGAGACATACCCCATTTCTTTGAATCCAAAACTATCTCTTTCACAAGACATCATTACTTTATGCACCACCAAAAGGTGAGGAGGGGGAAGCTGCCAGTTATAGTTTTAAGATGACAACTTCAAAAATATTAAAATGAAAACAATGTCCTGGAATCAATAAAATATGGTAACCTCTATTAAATGCAAAACTTGCTCCTAATTTTACCCTCCCCCATCTGACACTATGAAACCTGATACTATTAGTATTTCATTGACCTAGTGGCAAAAGGAATGGCATCTTGGTTTTAATTAGAAACTCCACACAAACCTCAGACAGCTGAAGAGAAGCAAAAAAGTTTGCATTTTCTGATATGTTCTTCAGTCTCCTCCTTTCGTATGGTGACAATCCTGAAAAGCCATCCTATGAAATTACACCAAAAAGATTATTTTGCATAATTCATAGCAAGAGCACCTCACAATACTAGGTGTTAGATTCTCTGCGTGTATACTTTCCTTCAAATTGCACCTACTCTATTCATTTCATGACACCTTAGCAAACCAGCACGTTTGCTTTATTAGATATTGAGTGAAAGAGCTTGAATTTGGGATAATCACAAGATATCTGTACGGCTCCCCAATTAAATAGCAAGTAATCTTATATCACAAGTCAAGTAGCGTAACTTTATTTTTATTTCCTACTGGCCACTAATTGTACTATTACTCAAAGTTATCTTTTTATTACACAAAACAAGAAAGGACTCAATAATAGAAAAATTTTAATTCATTGAAAGCAAGGAACCAGAGAAGCAATCTTGGAGATCCAACATCCAACTAATAATTGGGAGCAGGGGAAGCAGAGAAAATTATTAGAAAAATAATTTAGCAGAGAAATATTATAATACAAGAAAGTTTCTCAAAACTGAAAACATGAGTTTCCAGATTAAAGGGTCCCAATGAGTATGCAGCACAATGAGTGAAAAAAGACCCAAGCCTAGGTACAGCATCACAAAATTTCTTAATACCTTAGATAAAAGCGATAAGAGAAGACCCTGAAAGTGTCCAGAGGAAAAAAAAAAGATCATAAAGAACCAAGAATCAGAATGACACTAACTTCTCAATACTGAGGGAAGCTTGAAGACAATGGAACAATATGGAAAAATTCTAGAGAAAAATTAAGTGATTTTCAATTTACAATTCTAAATCCAATTAAACCAGCAGTCAAATGTAAAGCCACAAAAACTTTTTCAGACCTGCAAACTACCTCTCATACACCTTTCTTCAGGAAGTTACTATAAGCTGCACTTCACCAAAATGAGAGAATAAACTAAGAGAGAGAGATAGGATTGAGCAAAGGGGAGAGAAAAGATCAAAGAAAATCAAAGGAAAATGGTAAAAGGCTAACCAAGGAAGAGTAAAACAGTCCAGAAAGAAGCAGGAAAATGGAGGGCCAAAAAAATGTATACACATTTTAAGAAAGGAAAACACTGTATTAAAATTGTAATAATATATACCGGTAACAAAAGATGAATACAATTCACATGTATACTTTTTGGCACCCCCAATCCCGTGTGTGTGTGTGTGTGTGTGTGTGTGTGTGTGTGTAAAGCCATTAGAATTCTTTATATAGAGAAAATTTTACAACTCTGGTAAAGCTTGGGCTGTACCTAATTAAGAATGTGGGAAAGAAAAGCATGGGTAGGGTGGGGCTACATGTGTGTAAATGGTATGCTGTAAGTGAATCTTCATCTTCCATAGTAAGTCAATAGATAACATGGTAGGCATAGCTAAGAAGGCTGAAAGTGTAATTTGTCTATTGAACAGCAATCACAAAAAGAGAGATATGGCAGAAAACTGCTGTCTGTATTAACTTGTTTCTGTGTATATGTGTGTACATGTGGAATTACCTATGTGTGTGTGTGTTTGTGGATATATAATACACATGTGGAATTATGACTTAAACATGTATGTACATGTATTACCTTGATCAAAATAAAGATTTTTCTCACATACACAAAATAATAGTGGCAGCAAAGGTGAAAGATTTTGTCACTGCCTTTAAAAACTTCTTCTCGGGCTGGCCGAGTGGCTCAGTTGGTTAAGAGCATGCTTAAGAGTGTGAGGTCTGAGCCACAGGGCCGCTGGTTGGATTCCCATGTGGGCCAGTGAGCTGAGCCCAAGCTGAGCTGCTGCTGAGCTGCCAATGGGTGGCAGGATGGCTCAGCTGGTGAGAGCACGTGCTCCTAACAACAAGGATGCCTGTTCGAGACGGTGGCTATGCCCGCCCGCAACTAAAGACTGAATTCAGCACCTTGAGCTGAGCTGCCACCTGGGGGGCTCAGGGGGTAACAGCACACGCTCTTAACAACAAGGCTGCCAGTTCGACTCCCGCATGGGATGGTGGCTACGCCCACCGGCAACTAAGGTTGAACACAGCACCTTGAGTTTAGAGGCCGAGAGCTGCTGCTGCCGGATGGCGACTGGACTTGGAGCTGAGCTTGCTGCACCCTCCACAACAAAGATTGAAGGACAACAATTTGGCTGCTACTCCCTTTCCCCAATTCCCCAACACTGTTCCCCTCCCCGAATTCCCCAACACTGTTCCCCTCCCCCAATTCCCCAATAAAATCTAAAAAAAAAAAAAAAATCCAGAGTTTAAAAAAAAATAACTTCTTCTCAGAGAAAAACTTCCCAACAATAATCAAGGACTTCCTAAAAATCTATTTCAAAATGGCGCATACTGAGATCCAAGGAACAAATTTAAATGGTTCTACTTACCACAAAAAAAGTACAAAAATTTATTTAAAAATATGTTTTTTAAAGGTATGTGTAAGTCAAACTATTCTTATCCATTACCCACCTCTCAACAACTTCCAACATGATAAAGAAAGACCAAGCAAATAACATCAGAAAAAGTGGACTCTCAAAATAAATATATTATATGAAATAGAAAGTTTTTTAAAAAGCACCATTATCTTCAGACACTTGAGAAGTTACATCCATAAAACAAGAAAGGGATGCTATGTTTAAAAAAGCAAAGAAAAATAACTTGAATTTAAAATATGCATGATACCAAAAATTCAAACTGTATGAATTTATATAACATTCTCAAAATGACAAAACTGTAGAGGTGTAAAACAAAATAATGGTGGGGCGACCGTTTCGCTCAGGTGGTTTGGAGCATGGGCTTGTAGCACTGGGGTTTCCAGTTCGATTCCCGCGTGGGTCGGGGAGCTGCGCCCTCCACAACTGGATTAAAAGCGGTTGCTTGGCTTGGAGCTAATGGTTCCTGGAGGGACACGCTGTTCCCCAATAAAATTTCTTTAAAAAAAAATAAAATAGTGGTTGCCGGAGGTTAGGGATGGTTGAAAAAAGAGGGTGATGAGCATAGCTATAAAGAAGTAACCTAAGGGAGAGTTTTGTGGAGATGGAATAGTTCTGTCTTTGATTGTGATGGTGGTTATATGAATCCACTTACGTGAGAAAATGACAGACAACTATACACACACCTCATACCAATAGTTATATAAGATGTACCCATTGGGAAAAACTGGGTGAAGGGTACACGAGGCCTCTCTGTACTACTTCTTCAAATTGCTATGAATCTATAATCACTTTAAAATAAAAGTTTTTTAAACATATTCATTTCTCACAGCTAACATTACACTTAATAGCAAAAGACTGCAAGTCTTCGCCTCAGCTCAGGAACAAGATAAACATGTCTGCTGCTCCAGCCACTAATTTTCAACATCATACTGGAGATTCTAGCCAGAACAATCAGGCAAAAAAAAAGAAATAAAAGACATCCAGATTGGAAAGGAAAAAATAAAACTATTTTGCCAATGACATGATCTTATATATAGAAAATCCCCAAGAATCCACACCAACAAATATTAGAATGACCCCAGAAAAGTTGCAAGATACAAAATATGCAAAAATCAGCTATATTTCTATACACTAGGAATAAACAATCAAAAATGAAATTAAGAAAACAATACCATTCATAATAGCATCAAAAAGAATAACATGCCTTGGAATAAATTTAACCAAAGAAGTGCAAGGCCTGAACACTGAAAACTACAAAATATTGAAGAACATTAAAGAAGGCCTAAGTAAATGGAAAGACATCCCATGCTCATAGATTGGAAGACTTAATATTATTAAAATGACAACACTCCCAGGCCGGCCGAGTGGCACATTAGTTAAGAGTTGGCTTGGGACGCCAGCTCTGAGCAGCAGGGCCCTGGTTCGTATCTCACATGAGGGCCAGTGAAGCTGCGATGGTGAACAACAGCTCGACCTGGAACTGGGCTGCCGTGAGTCACCAGCGACGGCGTAGGCTGCAGTGGGCTGCCATAAACTACTGTGAGTGGCTGGTAGCTGGCGTGAGCGGCCGTCCAATGGCCGGCGAGTGACTGCCTCACCTGGGAAGAGCGCAATGATAATACCAACATGGGCCAGTGAAGCGACGTCCTCCACAACTAGACTTGAAGAACAAACAGCAACTTGTCTGTTCCCCTTCCCCGATTCCCCAATGTTCCCTCCCACAATTCCCCAATAAAATCTTTAAAAAAAATAAAATAATAAAATAAAATGACAACATTCCCCAAATTGATCTGCAAATTCATAGAAGGAAATATAGATGTCAATCCTCACAACCCTGGATTAGGCAATGTACTTAAAATTTTAAAATTAAAAACTTTTATATGTCAAAGGGCATTATCAAGGGCTGGCCAAGTGGCACGTTGGTTAAGAGCTGGCTTGGGATGCCAGCTCTGAGCAGCAGGGCCCCAGTTCAGATCCCACATGAGGGCCAGTGACACTGCCCTCTACAACTAAGATGGTGAACAACAGCTCAACCTGGAGCTGGGCTGCCATGAGTTGCCGGCTATGGCGTGGGCTGCAGCCCCTGCTGCAGTGGGCTGCCATGGGCTACCGTGTGCAGCCAGCAGTCAGCATGAGCGGCCAGCAGCCAGTGTGAGCTGCCAAGAGCCGCCGTGAGCGGCCATCCAGAGGCCAGCAACCGATCTGCCTCACCTGGGAAGAGCGCAATGATAATACCAACATGGGCCAGTGAAGCAGTGTCCTCCACAACTAGACCGAAGAACAACAGGACAGCAACTTATCTATTCCCCTTCCCCGATTCCCCAATAAAATCTTAAAAAAAAAAAGGGGGCATTATCAAGAAAGTGAAAAGATAGACTTCAGAATGGGAGAAAACATTAGCAAATGATATAGCTAATAGGATCTAATGTCCAGAACACATAAAGAACTCTCACAATTCAACAACAAAAAAATTTAATTTTTTAAATGGGCAAAGGATTTGAATAGACATTTCTCCAAAGTACAAATGACCAATCAGCACATGTAAAGATGCTCAACATCATTAGTCATCAGGAAAATACAAATCAATTAGCAATAATC